ATATATATATATATAATAATTTACAATGTGATTCCTGTTTCTTTATCAAAGTACTTACTTGCCAATCCAATAGCTTACCTAAAACATAAATGTATATTATTATTTTTATTAAACAAACTTATATCATTTATCAATTTTGGCAGCAATAACTTAAAATCAAATGACCGCCTCTCTGAAGTTTGGACCTGAATGGTTGCGCAATCTATCTCAGGATGGACCCAGTGCAGGCTCCGGTGGAGGGGGCCTAAATATCACTGGCAGAACATCGGTAATAATTGAATAGATAGAAAATGATAATAATAGAAATAGATAGAAATGATAATAATAGAAATACATAGAAAGATAATAGAAATACATAGAAAATGATAATAGAAATACATAGACAAATGATATTATATATGGAAGTGGAAATGATTTTTACAAATAATTCATTATACAGAGAGAATTTTTATCTTGAAAGATTCTTAGTAATTCAAATTGTTTATAATTTTTTGTTAGTTATTGTTTTACCACCTTTACAATGCATCTTAGAAAATTCTTACCTAGAATGATAATAATTATCAAATCATAAGTACAAATAATATTCAGTCAATAATTCATTGTTGTTTGTTGACTTATTCAATTTAAAAAAATGTTTAGGTAAAAAGTATTAGTTGTTTCAATTTTAAAATATTAGACAAGTGTTTAGATTTTTTTTGAAGATGAAAGGAAGCTTTTAGTTTGGATTATACAATTTATTTTAAATTATATATATATTAGGTTGTCAAATATCTCTCTTCCGCCTTTTTGTATTATAAACCATACAAAAAGCGGAGGGAGATATTTGACATTTGATTTTGAATATATTTGAACATATATAATATATATATATATATATATTGTAGAGTTTGGAACAAGAATCCAAAAAGTAATAAAAAACAAAAAGTTTTTTAATAAACCATTTCTTTATTTATTTATTTACTTACGTCGACGTTTCGGAACTAGGTTCGTTCCATCTTCAGGACATCTGTCAAGAAACATGATCTTGATAAGATTTAAGCAAACATATGTTTAAGGAAAGAGATGGATTTTTTAATTAATACTATAGTTGAAAAAATAATATACAGAAATATGATAATATGATCAAAATGAAAATGATAAAAATAAATGAATGGATTATTTAACAGGATATTAAAAATGATAAAAAAATTTAAAGTTTTGGAAAGTTAATGAAAAAATTTGAACTAATTACCTGTATGATTGAAAATACGTTAGCACTTTTTCACTAAAAAAGATTTTATCAAAAAATAAATTTATGAGTTACTTTTCAGCCTATAGGTAAATTTTGTAAATCAAAGTTTCTATAAGTTATGTCCTTTTTTAAGTTTATTTGAAACAAACAATATTTTCTCTCGATGTTATGAGATCGGCTGTTTGTAATGAACTGATTCTAGTCACACGTGCGCTACTTGAAAACTGAAAGGATCTGTTGCGTGTTGTTTTTATGTGTGAGGACGTAAATACTTAATTTATTGATTTAAATGGAAGTCGATATTAATTGTTTGTCAAAAAGTGTAAAAATCTAAATAAGAATCATGTAACAGGTTAAGATCTGATCTAATGTTAATACTATCAGAAAATTCATAAGAATAGACTACCATTTTATATATATATATATATATATATATGTTATTTATTTTATTATTTATTTATTTGTCTATTTATTACTTGTTTTCTAGTTATGGGAGAGAAGAAATGTTGGCATTGTTCGACAAAACCTTAGGACAGCCAGAGCTATTAGGAAAATTCAAATCTTTATATGTAGAACGTTTACAGCCACCCCTCGCCTTAGCACCGACACAAGAAGATGAAGCCAATCTAACTAATGTAAGAAAAGTTTATTATTTACAATCTTTATCACACAAATAACTATTTATATTTAGCACACTAATTATCACAGTAATTTAAGAATAACTATTTAGAAAAAAATTCAATTATTTATTTAATTATTGATTTATTGAATATCAATTCTTAAAATTATTACTTTCTTCTGTGATCTGTTTTTTTAATACTATTTTTTATTATATCATCAAATTTATTTTTCATTATTTTATTCAGTAACTAGCTGTAGGTGGAATTCTGTCTTAAGGCAATTAGGGCATCGTGCCTTAAGGCAAATTGCTGGAACTTCCCGTACCAAAATTTTTTTTTTTTTTTTCGAAAAAATAAGATTTTTGAGAAACTATAAATTTGACAAAAAATTACTTTTTTTTGAAAAAAAAAAATTGAAAAAAAAAAAAATTTTTTTTTTTAAATCTTTTTTTTTGAAAAAAAAATGTTTTCTTTATTTTGACATATGTTGGAAGATCTGAACTTTTTTTCAAAGCAATCGTACTGCTTTAAATGCAAGAGACAATATAAAGCGCGTAAGCGCAGCGGCGTCCTGTCTAACGTATAAACTTGGTACGAACCCATAGGAATGTAAACAAAATTTATTACTTATTGTTAAAATCTCTATAAATATCTGATAATTTGATGTGCATATGTCTAATGATCATTTTTGACCGCCAAATGGCATTTTTTTTTTTACTTTTTTCGTTATATCTCCGAAACCGCTAAACCTGCCCTTATAAAAATTTGATCAAGTCTTTATCTTGTCAATACAAGTAAAATGTTTTTTGAATTATTAAAATCGGACGCTCCGTTCTATTAAAAACTGAGGTACCGTTTTTGGCACTTTTTGCCCCATATCTTCGGAACGGCTAGACCTACCTCCGCCAAAACTAATCAGCACGTCTCCTTATTAATACGGATCGAATGTTTTTTAAATTATTCAAGTTGCTTCATCCGTGTTCCCGAAATCGTCGACGAAAATTTGTATCCGCACACACATACATACTACGCACACACACACACACACACACACACACTTACATCCATTTTTTCTAAGGTATGCCAAAATATTCAGAAACCTGTGAAACGTAAAGATATATAAAAATTTTCATTTTCGATTTTTTTGCGATTACTATAACTTGCCCTACGGGAAGTTAATAATTTCTTAAATTATTTATCATTTTCTGATATATTTTTTTTTTTAATATCATTATTATTTATGATTCTAATTTTTACTTTCATTATTTATATTAACATTCAATAACAATTTTTAAAACTATTTATTTTTTTCCAACCTTTTTTAAATAGTAATTTTTAAATACAATCTCCTTTATCATTTATTTTTTATCAGAGAGGAGGATGGCCCAGCAGACCATTAACAGGGGGTGGATCATCATCAATTCGAGGAGGCCGTGGAGGGGGCGTCTCTGTAGATAGGGGCAGAGGCCGTGGGGTCAGGGGAAATGCCTATCATTCCCAAAACATGATGGGCGGCAGTGGTGTTCCACAATTGGGCTCCTCCTCATATCCAAGATCACAGAGCGGCTTTGATCCAGATGATGTTGGCATACGCATTGGAAGGGTAAGTGGAATAAGACAACTACTATAGATACTAGATGACCCGACAGACGTAGAATAAGATAACTACTACAAATACTAGATGACCCGACAGACGATGTCCTGTACCCACGACTACAATTCGAGAGTTTCAAATATTTATTATCCTATGCCATACTTTTTAATATTCTATCTATTTGATGTCATGTCTTTGTGATTCATTTATGGTCTTAGTATAAGCAGTATAAAAGTTTCAGAAAAAAAAATATATAGTATCTGCGGTAAAAGAACAATATCACACTTGATTTTACCACACAGAATAATTGCTTCAATAATTAGTCCATAATTTTTATATTTCGTACAATAAATTAGTTGCTTTTTGGCAATTATAATTCCTAAAGTACATTTTTCTTGCTAATGTTTTAATAAACATTATTGTTTATGTTCAAATCTTAGGTGAATTAATTTGTAAAATCTAGTTCATGTGTGCACTATTCAATGTAAGATCAATGAACTTGCTAAATATTCCATATTCAATGCCAAACAAATGAAATTTGACACACGAAACAAAATTCTAAATCATTTTTTTAATAAGTAGAAAAATTAATAAAACCAATAAATTTAATAAGTAGAAATAATTTAGTAAAGTAAACCAAATGCGACAAGCATAAGTTTTAAATATTGTATATGAAATTTTGGACCTATTGCGTTATTTATTTAACTGAATTATATAATTTCATCTGCCAAACCGTTTACTGTTGACTGTATCTTACGTCATTTTAATTTCTGGCACATCTCAGCTGTTTTTTGGCAATAATAATGTAGACATTACATTTTGCTTGTATATTACATTCTAATACGTATTATCTAGGTTCATAATTTCACCTAAATTCAAATTTCAAGTGAATTGACATTTCTAGCAGACAACAGTTCAAATGTTTTCAATGTCAAACAATGATAAGAGGTTTTTTTGTAATTTTTGCCATTTATTTCTACAACATTACTATAGTTTTATCGATAATTAAATCTTAAAAAATCCCTTAACAAACTTCAGAAAGATTTATCAAAATCCGAATAACCGTTCAGGACAAGTATCAAATCATGCACTCGTACAGAACAATTTTATATATAAGATATTGTTTGTTGAGATTTTTTAATCAACTTCTTGAAAGAAGAAGAAAGTCTAATGTGTACATTTTGTTTTTTCTCGACGTTTAAAGTTGTTCTGAATATTTTGGCGCCAATTAGATAAAGTATTGTAAAGCGTGACACAAAAACTAGAAGAAAATTAGAAAGTGTGATACAAAACAAACGTTTTTAATCAACGTCTTCTCTAAAAGGGCTTTCAAAACATGTTTTGATGAAGTTTGTTAAAGACTTGCGTTGATTAGATTTTGCGACGATCAGCCGAGCCGTTTCTTTATAATTAGCAACAAAGTACGAAATTGTAAAGTTTTTGATCACGTTTCAACCAAAAGTCCTGAATTGATTTTAATAATTCAAAAGCTGTTTGAAAGATATTAGAATTAAATAAGATACATTTTTAGAACATGAATTAGAATGAAATGTGTTATTTAGTTTAAATTTAATTAATCCAATTTCAGATATTATTGGTTTGTTTGAAAGATTTCTTTAATTGTTAAATTTTTATTGAAAATTAGATATTGCATTGGTTAGTGTTCAGTGAAAAACTAAAGCTTATTAGTCTAACTCAAATCATCGATACTGATCTTCACTTTATTTTTATAGCAAGTGCTTTTCTGCGTAAATAATAGAATACAAACTGTTGGTTTTATAAATTTCATATGTACAATAAACTAAATAAAAATATAACTCTCTTGGATATTATGACTAAATGATTTCACATAAAACCTAATTTCATGATGTGTTATCAAAGAGACATCAGAAAGATGCACTTGTGATAAAAATATTATTTGATCTTTGTGCGTTTTGTAGGTTAGATTTTATTTGTAAAACGCCTGATGGCACAGCAAATGCATAGCTTTTTGATAGTTTTTACTACTAATTCATACGCTGGTAGACCCATAACATAGCATTACCATAACATTTCAATTTTATCTGAGAATTGGTCTCTATATTTAATTTGCTAATATAGGTTATGTTTGTTTTTATTTGAAAATATCGTAGTCACAATGTTAAATGTTACCAAATCTCAATTATTTTTAAATTAGAACTTATTGAATTAGATATATGTATCAGGAATTTTATGCAACTTGCCTTAAGGCAAATTGTCACTTACACCTAGTCTTCAGTAATGCAATTTCATTCAGGAGTTCCTAATTATCCTTCTTAAATCATCAGTTGTCAAATAATAAACCTTGTTATAAATCATTATGTATAAAATAATAATAAATCAACAATATTTATAGCGTTACCATAACATTTCAATTTTATCTGAGAATTGGCCTCTGTTGTATTTGCCAATATAGGTTATGTTTGAAGTAGACTTTGAAAATATTAGTCACAATGTTAAATGTAACCAAATCTCAATAATTTTTAAATTAGAACTTATTGAATTAGATATATGTATCAGGAATTTCATGCAACTTGCCTTTAGGCAAATTGCCGGTTACATCTAGGAGTTCCTAATTATCCTTCTTAAATCACCAGCTGTCAATTATTAAAACTTTTTATTATAAATTATTATTTTGTAAATGAATAATAAATAAATAATATTTAATCTTATTCAATTTCAAAATATATATTATTAATATATAATAATTATAATCAATATTATAATTATAATTAATATTATAATAATATATTTACAACTTCATGTTAGTTCCAATTTCAATTTCGTCCGCCATTATCCTTTCTCTTAACTTTGGCAACCCCGCAGCGCGAATGACAGCCAGATTGCACAAGAAATTGTTGAAAATCAAAGTTAAAACAAAAGAATCAATTAACTTGATTGTTTATACCAAATTTTCGACATTCGGCGTTTGTAAACTGCCAAATAATGATTGACATGTGTATTACAATTCTAGAATTGCTATTGATTGCAATACATTTGGTGTATTATTTCCAGCCTAGGCCCTGGGCCGAACAAAATGGCGAGGCGGAATGGAATGGCACAACGAGCCCTAGAAAAGAGTTTAATCCAACAGGTTGGTAAAGGATTTACGTTGTAAATATTATTGCAAGTGTTGATGATTTTGTATAATTAATTATTTTTCATTAATTAGGCCGAGCAAACACGGATAATTGGAGGAGACATCGCGGCACGGATGATGATGACGGGTGGCGAAATCAACCTGAACAGAGGAGAACTGAAAAATGGGGTAAATTTAACATTCTAAGAGCATTTTGTTTTTATCAAAAGATGCTATTTGCTGATTTTGTTTTCGCGGAGTTTGACGTTTGACACTGAAATTGATTAAGTATTTGTGCGTGTTTAAAATTTTGTTTTGCGCGGTGATCAGCCGAGCTGTTTCTTTATAATTAGCAAATAAGTACAAGAACTTTTGTCGACGTTTTCGCCAAAAATGCTGAACTGATTTTGATTATTTACTACTCATAAATTGGCACATTAGTGTTATCATAATTGTACATAATTTGATTATTTTAATTAAATCGATGGTTCCCACGGGCAATGTTCTTTGTATCTCTTGGCATATACTCTACGTAAAACTTTGTTGTTTTTATTACAATCAATATTATAATAAACTTTTCTCTAGAATCTAGAACATAAAAATGAATATCTCGGGTATTGTGTAACTGATTTGATTCCCAAGAAGCATCATACCCCTTGTAATTTTTAATATTTTACTTTATTTTAATATAACATACTTCTGTTGATAAATGTATTATAGACAATTTTATCAGCTTTCAATTGATAAACAGCAATAAATACTGCTTGTTCAACAGTTGTAAAAACTAACAAAATGTTTTTTGCTTCTCTTGTAATAAAATGTCGACTGTTAAACTATTGCTAAAGTTTAGGTATTCATTTTATCAACATATGTTAAAATTCTTTTATTTACAATATACTATCAATTATTAATCATTTATACGTGGTAGGTCCACAAATGTAAAAAATGCTACATTTTTATAAAAATGTGTAAAATGTACCATGTTGGCATTTGATTTGTGGTCACAATATGTTTGAACTTGTAAAGATATCCTACATATTGGCTGTCGAAAGATAAATGCTTGGCAATACTTATTGTTTCTGATCAATATTTAGAAGACGTTTAATAATTGTAAAACTCCTAACAAAAAGAAAAATATAGACTAGACAGGTCATCATTAGCCTTGAGCTGTAAGATTGAATCTCCAAAACATGTTGCTAAATGTTGATAATTAAAAATTTGCTTACCGCTTATTTAATTTTGTCATTTTAAATTCAATTAATATAAATATAAACTTATCATACATTTTTACATCCAGTGTTTAATACTAATCTTTAATACAGTTAGAAATTTATAAATTAATTATATAGGGTAGATTGGAGAACCATCAAAAAGCTCAAGGAATTCAAAATGCAAAAATTTGCCAATCTATGCTTTACGCAAATGAAATTATTATATATTAACATCAAAGAATGTGGAATATTTCAATATTATGAGCTTAAAAAATGGTTTAATTATAATTATTATTTTTTGGAATAACGGGTTTAGGAATAATTTTATCTTTTTAAATAAACACCAGAACATTTTATCGTCACCGCTAAATTTCAGTTACCCCAATTAATTTGATTATTGACACATACGCAAACTACCACTTAAACCTAAGTTTTTTTTTATTAAATTTTATTCATTTCATTTTACTCTGCTCTACTTGTTTTTTTTTTAGTTTATAAAACAAAAATAAAAGCATTATATTTAATTTTATATTTAAAATTACCTCAATCAATTGCATTTAAAAAAAATAAAAATGTAGAAAGTTAATCTAATTCAAAAAATGAAAATTGGATAATCCTTTATGATTTTTTTTTTTATATAAAATTGAGCTTTTTTATAAGCTCAAAAAATCTCAATCTAAATTCAATAAAAATGTTCAGTGACAGAATTCTGGATCAAAAATTATATAATTACTATAATAAATTTTAAGCAAAAAGGGTTTGTGATAAGAGGGTTAAAATTTAGGGTTGTATGCATTTTTTATATATGCAATATACAAATTTAAAAATCTACCCTAAAAATAAACAAAAAATCTTTGGGGTGGCCAACCTTTACCACTTTATTATCCAATAATTTCATCTGCCAAACATATACTGTTGACCGTATCTTATATTATTTTAATTTCTGGCACATCTCAGCTGCTTTTCGGCAATAATAATGTAGACATTACATTTTTCTTGTATATAATATTCTAATATTATCAGGCTCATAATTTCAGCTAAATTCAAATTTCAAGTGAATTGATAATTTTAGCAGATGTTTTCAAAACAGTTCAAATGTTTTCAATGTCAAACAATGATAAGTGGTTTTTTGTAATTATTGCCATTTATTTCTACAATATTACTATAGTTTCATCGTTCATTAAATCTTAAAAATTTTCTTTGACAAACTCTAAAATGAAGTATCAAAATCCGAATAACCGTTTAGGGGAAGTATCGAATCATACACCCGTACCTGTACTGAAGTATTTTATGTATATATATATATATATTTTTTTTATTTCTTTTTCAGGTCGAGGTGGTGGTACATCATCCAGCTGGCGCGATGGAGACACCTCTGGCGGAGGACAAGAAGGTGGCCCTGGTGGTGACCGAGAACTTTTATCCAGGGGCATAGAAAGGCTAGAGAGAGAACTCCGAGAACGAGGAAGCGGAGGGAGTGCGAGTGACAGAGGTGATCGAATTACTCATAACTCACAAAGTAGTGGAGCATCCGCGGTCGCCAGATCATGGAATGCTCGGAAACCTTGGGATGTCGATGACATATTACCTGAATGGGCCATGGAGAATCCGTCCGAATCTGGTGGTACTTTTGATGCCTCTGGAGCTTTCCATGGCTCCGATGACGAAAACGAAAGGTCCTCTAGACTTAATCACTCACACTCCACAAATAATATACACAGTTCTCCTAGACCTGCTACATTGTCGAGGTAAGTTTTTGTTTTAGTAAATCTTGAAATAGTAGCATAAAGAACTTAGTTCATTTATTTATTTATTTATTTATTCAACGCTCAAGGCAATAATACAATATAATTACATTTTAAAGTGTACATATTATAAACTAAAGATAATATGAGAAAATTCGAGTATTGTGAGTTTATATATAGATTTGTATATATACATAACACTTAATAATAAAAAAACAATTTGTTTTTTGAAGATGTTTAATAACGACGTTTCGAAACTAGATACGTTCCATCATCAGGTTTATTCTGTCAAATACAATGTTTTTTTAAAACTATTGACTAACTTTACTTTAACAGATTATTTAGAAAAATTATAAAGGAATGGATTATGTACCAGTGTAAAGAGTAACGAAAATTAACTAAAAAAGGTTTTATATAAAATTGAGAGGCAAAAATTATTTACCTGTAATAATTTATATATCCATATCACTAACATTTTTTGTTAAAAACACTCGTTTTTTTCGAGAATATTTGTAAATGTTTTTGACTTCACAAGACTTTGTAACATTACTGTCTCATTACTGTGTGTTACAAAGTCTTGTGAAGTCAAAAACATTTACAAATATTCTCGGAAAAAACGAGTGTTTTTAACAAAAAATATTAGTAATATGGATATATAAATTATTACAGGTAAATAATTTTTGTTTCTCAATTTTATATAACACTTTTTTAGTTAATTTTCGTTACTCTTTACACTGGTACATAATCAATTCCTTTATAATTTTTCTAAATAATCTGTAATAACCATCATTAATTAATGTTAGTCAATAGTTTTTAAAAAAACATTGTCTTTGACAGAATAAACCTGATCATGGAACGTATCTAGTTCCGAAACGTCGTTATTTAACATCTTCAAAAAACAAATTGTTTTTTATTATTGGATTTACTGTTGAGAAAAAAAACAATCAATATATTGAAAAAATTCAGGACTTATCTATTGAATATATAAACTACAAATATATAACATTAAATAAAAACTAATAAAATTAAACATTTGATAAACTATAAATCACTACTTAAGACAGTTTTTAAAGGATAATTTTTCTGGCTTGATTTTTTATATTTGTCACCGAAGATATCAATCTCAGAAGCAAGTTCATTTATTATTTTTGATATTCTGAACATGGGTGCGCGTTAGGGTTTATACAAACAGACATTTCAGAAAACCGGTTTTCGAATTCGAAATTTCCCAGAAAACCGGTTTTAACCGGTTTTCGAATTTTATATAAAAAATCCATTTTTGCTCGAATATTCTGAAATAATAAAAAAAAATTAGTGGCATATTTAGTGTGATTTAAAGCAGTTTTGGACTGAATTTATTTTATGTTCAATTTTATGAATAGTATTTCATGCATTTTTACATATGAGAATATACATATTTTTATGATAGTGAAAGAAAATAGTTGGAACAAATAAAAATGTTACATTTAAAAAAAAAACCTTTACCTTCTAATTAAATAAAAAAAAATAGTACATATTGATGCATACTTGTTAATGTCTATTTTAGTTCTAAAAACGTGTTCATTCTATTCCGAACAATTTTAATTAATTAATTTCAAATTTTGTTTTTTTTTTGAGTCTTCTAAGGCTAAAAACTCTTTTAAAGTTTGAGTAGAACAATTCACTTCAACAAGAAGTCACATTGATTTAAATTAATATATACATTTGATAAAAAAATCTAAATTAATATATACATTAGACAAAAAATAACACAGAACTTTCTGGGAACTATAACAGACTGATATGATTCCAAATTTTATCGAACCGATATGATTCGAAGTATGAAAACCCTTGCTTCCATCTTGTATATTTGTCATTTTTCATTTAAACAGTAAAACCGATTTTTTCCGCCGCCGAAAAACCGGTTTTCGAATTTCATAATTTTCGTCAAAAAACCGGTTTTTGAAAACCGACAAACCTAATGCGCGTGAACCAAATTTGGTTTTAAAACTGTTGGTATTTCTAAAGTTCTATTGTAACGTAACCTAACGTTAGGTATGACAAATTTGAAGCATTCAAGAAGTTTAGGCACATCTAAATCACTTTTCACAATATTTACTCCATAGCAGAAAGTGAGGTATTTTCTTCTAGCATCAAATGGCGTAATGTAAAGTTGGCTGTACATTTCGGACCGAAGTAGTTAGTTTAAGTTGATTTTTTTTTTACCAGGTCTCAGACTCAAGTTTTATTACTACAAATTTGCTTAGAGGGGTTGATTTTTCGTCTTTCGCTAAATACGGGCTATCATTTACCATATATTTTGTTTCTATATCAGATATCAGACAGAATTTTATGTAAATTTATAGTTTCTTTGGCATTTACTGGCTAAATATGCTTCTGGCCTTTGTTGGAAAATGTTATTCAACCAAAGTGATATGAGCTCTCGCTTTGAAGCAATTTTTGCTATTTTCTATAATTTGTTCCAAACCCAGGCTTTTTTCTATAAATTTGGCCTAAATGTGTGTCTGAAAGCTCTTTGAACTTCTAATCTACCTGCAAAACCTATTTCACTTTACTACAACTCTTGTCCAAATAGTTTCGTCCAAACCAATTTTAGTTTTCTGATTTGGTGTATTACTTCCAAATTCGTCTTCAGAATTGGAAGAAAGTGGCTCGCATCGTCTCATACGTTTGTTTGTGATATCTATCCATTTACTAACGTACTTGATCCATCTGTATTGTCTTTATCACAAAATTTTTCCATCTCTACAGTCGATAATAGCACTGCCTTGTGGATTAATTTGTTTATCTAAAAATTTACCGTCACTATCATATATTTCAAATCCTAGGTCCAAACTTTTCAGAGATCCGCTGATTGTATTTTCCAAATAAGCTAAAAAAAACATTGTTTCCATTCTTTTTTCGAAGACTGACAGTCGCTATAAAAATAAGTCGAAACCACGGCAGTTTTTTCGTTTATAGTTTTTTTTTTTACTCAAGAATATATTTTTGAAAATTTCTATGTCTACGCGAATGTTACTTACTTGTATCAGTGTACAAAAAGAATAAATAATTCTACTTGAAAATCACTTTGAATAAAATTTTATTTAGTGTGTTGAACGAAGCTTGAAACAATTGTTTTGTTGGTAAAAATCTAGTGATAGTTCAGCAATCTGCATTTTACAATGTAAAAAATAATATTTATTGTCGTCGATAAGAGAGTAGGCGATAAACGCATACGATCTATGGCTATTGTTATTTCGGTTCTTTTATCAAACATTTTTAAGAAACTTGCACCAGTCATTTTGGTGGTGGTACAAGTAGTAGTAACACAATTTATTTTTGTTAACTTAACTTTGAATGCACACAATGATTTCTATACGTATAACTTAAAAAGTCATAACTTCATTTCACAAAACAAATTTTGCATATACAGTAGAATCCGATTAGTATGACGCCGGATATATTGACAACCGCTTATTATGACGTAATTTTAAAGGCAGTTTGGTTTCCATATAAAATTTCTCAAAAAAACAGCTGTTTAGTCGGATATGTTGACCTCGCTTACATTGACATTTCGCTTATAATGACCCATTTTTGAAAAAAATTTGGTCCAAGTATAATGACCGACATGATTTTACACCTCCGATAACATAGAGTTCATGTTTTTCATTGCACATTGTTATGGTATGGCACCACTGTGAACTACCCTTGTGTGTCAGGTCGCTACATACCTTCAGGTCTCTATGTTGCACGAGATTCGCGCTATGGAAACTTTGGCAACTTCCGGCATGGACGACCTCGTGCAAAAAATAAGTAGGCTCATTCTTGGTGTTCGAAATTTGGAAGCGATAACATCTGCTATAATTTACTGAATTAGTAAAGTTCTATATTTTTTACTATTTTTACCCAGTAATTAAAATTCAAACGAAAATTACAGATTTCTTACATTAAAAATGCATTGTTATGTCATATTTTAATTAAATTTGTCAATTTGTTTATATGTGTCATTTTTTACCTTAATTTTTGTATTAAATTACCGAAATTAATAACATATTCGCCAAAAATTGTTTTTTTTTTTCAGTACGCTTAGTATGACGACCGCTTAGTATGACCATTTTTCGCCGTCCCTTGAATGTCATACTAAGCGGATTCTACTGTATAGTGCAGTAAACGGAGAGGAAAAAAGGGTGTAACCTCTGAATTTTTTTACTGTGCTCCGAATTGAATGAAATTTTTGGAATTAGGTTCATCTTACCCTCAAGTTTAAAAGTGAAAACAATTCGGGTTGCGCCATCACCCCCGGGGAATGACCCCCCTTCTCAATTGTGTAATTACATTTTTTTACAATAATGTCGGAAATCGATAGAAGAACCAATTATAAGAAAAAAATGTCTTTTATAGTTTTTTAAAAAAACCAAAACTTTTCAAGTTACTGGTCACTAAAGATTCATATATTTTTGGCGTTTTTCTTCGTTTTTTTGCAAATATCTCCTAAAAAGTTTTTATAAAATCGTGAATTTTCTGAAAATAATTTGTACTAAAGTAGTGAATCTGCTAGAATCCATCAAGATGTCTATAAGGAAGTGAATTCTAGATGGAATGTGAATTACTTTATTTCTGGTGGAAATGGCGCTCATTAAACCATATGATTTAAAAGAAAAAAACTTCGTATATGCTTCTTATTTGCATGATAGCTCACTCATTTTACACGAAAAAAACTTGTAACAGCACTCATTTTAAAGCTTATGTTGAGCACTATAAAACCCAATTTTACCGAAATTCATAAATGTAAAACCTCGACACTAGATGGCTTTAAATACAACAATTAAATCTT